GTAGATGGAATTATTTTAGAGGAGGCATTACAGGGATATTATCGACCCTAGGGGTATTTTCACAGGTTCACATTGAAAATTCCAAGTGTGTTCATTGGTAATAGTATCGACATTCTTCGCAATGTCGCCTGTATATTTCGAGTTCGTGGTATGTATCTCTTTGTCTCTTTCCCATCGCAGCCTCTCTCTCATTGACTCCGTAGCGATCGTGAACCCTGACTCTTCATTAATCACTCGTCGTGGTATCAATGACTGGGTGAGTGACTGACGGCACAGGCGAGAGGTATTATACGAATATCTGAAGTCTCTGGCAACTGACGCCTCTCAGTCGATGCTACTACGTGGGAGGCTCTTCGATATAGGCCTGAATCACTCCAGTTTATCACAAATAAAAATGAAAAACGAGACAACAGAAACATATCATCCGAGACTAAAGAATATTTCATTTACCCTTCACTTATTTCGAAAACTGTCGGCAATAGTCGGTTCGCAAAAAAAAAAAAAATTACTGTGAAGAAATCGATTGCGTATATCTCGACAGCTGCGAGTCGTAGAAATATAAATAAAAAATTGATTTATTCGGAATAAAAATACCTGTATTTTGAGGTAAGATTTGTTACAGTTTTTGAGATAATTTCACGTGCAATCGGCGGAAGAGAAAAGACGAGAACCTTCGGTGGCGCCAAGATTGTCGGTGAGTTGCACTAATGACTGGTAAATTTTGAATGAGCTCAGGATAAATTAGTATTCATATTTATGGAATCACCAGGCGCCCTGAGGTACCTCGAGCCGCGGAATTCGTCCCATAAAAGTGAGAAGACCAGCGGGATGCAGGAGCGCACGAATTTCCGTCGCTCGGACACAACATTTTGACCATAAATAACTCAAGATTTCGTTATCTCCGGAGAACTAAATATTTCCTACCATCTCCAGGTAGCTTTTTAGCCTCTGAACAACATGGCATACCACCGAGTCCCTGATATCTCGGAAAAATTCGTAAACGACTGCTAAACCCGCGAGTCCGTGGATTTTCACCTTTTATTTCGCGGGTTAAAGGTTCCAGCCTTTTACTTCCTCACCCGACACTTTGTCCAGCGATTGCTCGCCCATTCGTGATTTACTACTACCAGTGGATCGTAACTTTTCCCCGATGACGGCGAGATTTTGTTGGAAAAATTTCAGATATGCTGCGGTTAAATTCGGGACTATTGAGAAAACGAGATATTCATAAATTATCAGCGACGGGTTACGCATTCTGCGCATTTACTTAAGAGGAATTAATCACCCTGGGGTATCGTATCGATAAAAATTATGCTGACGCGTTATTTATTACGTGCTATGAGGCATTTTACCTTTTTCATAGGTTAGGAAATTTACGGGAGCGGCGAAATTTTTGCAGAGAAATTTCTCAGCAGATTTTTGGAATGAGAAGAATTGTCTGTATTATTAAAAAATTTTTTTTTTGGTTTTCATTTTTAGTTTTTAACGGTCCGTTGATGTGCGATCGGTAGGCGCCGCATCATCGTTCGGTAGCTATTGAAGTGATTAAATTGATAACTGATATAACCTGCGTCGTGACTGGCGCTTGCAACTGACTCTATCACAATTATCTCCTTCTGTGATTCTCGCTCGGGTGGAGGTTTTATCCACACAGAAATATCATTCGGTGGGAAGGACCCCCCGCGGCTGTCACGCGATTGCATCGGTATCGAGTGGTTAGCTCTGGTGATCGAGGGGGAGGATGACTTGTGGGACTTTGTCTTCTGCGGGATCATTGTGTAGGGCCCGCCCCGCTCAAGCTCCTGTGAGTCTCGATCTGGGTCCAGCTGACCTCTCAATTCCAGAGAAATCCAAGGGAAATTCGATTTTTCATGTCGATCCTTACGAGATATCGAACTATCGAGTAAGTTTCACTTTTTTTCATACATGAACCGCGGGTAAAAAAAAAATTTTAATCGGAATATTTTTTAAATTTTCAAAAAATTTCTGGAAAACTTTTCAGAATTTTTTTTTACGAAACAAAAAAAAATTGGAAAACAAAACGATTTTATTTTTGAGAAAGGTTTTGAAAAATTTTTCAAAAACTTTAATAGGTTTTTTTTTTTTTATAATTTAGATAGCGTTTTTTTTTTTTTGAGAATATTGAAAAATCAAAAACGTGAGAAAACCATAGTATAATTAAAAGAAAAAATTATATTCGCAAGAATTTCTAGAAAATTGAAAAAAAAAAATTCTGAAACAAATTTTTAAAAAATACTAAAGCGTTTCCCGATTTTTTTTTGTTTCAAAAGAAAAATTTTCTGAAAAGTTTTCCAGAAATTTTTTGAAAATTAAGAAAAAATATTCCGATTACAATATTTTTTTACCCGTGACGTCACCAGAACGTGAAGAAAACAGCATTTGATATTTTATTTCTAATCTCCCACGACTTGACACAAATCTCAATCAATTCCAGTGATTAATTAATTTTTTTTCCCCTGAAAAAATTAAATATATCTTCCCTCGCGTTTCTTAACAATTCAACAGATTTATAAAATTCTCTTGGATATTATCGTTCACCCGTATGATCTCCCGTAAAATGGAAGGAGTGATTTATTCCTAATAAAAATGCCATCTAATCAATTCAAAATTCCAAGAAACTCCTGGAATTAATCATCAAATGCCGTCCCAATGGCGCGTGAATCTCACATCCATACAATTACAAGTCTGATTGGAGCGAGTAAAAAATCTCACTCAACTCATTGCTAAGAAGCCGAGCAGTTGCACTTATTATTACGATGATTGAAACTCACAACCGACAACTCTGGCAAATAACATTGCGGCCTATATTTAGTGATTTATAAAGGACCGCGTGTGTCGACTATTCCCTCAGCAAAAGCCTATAATTGGCGCGGTACAGGAAATTAATCGAGGCAGAAACGATGATCCGCTGAGAGGCACAAAAAGGGGTGAAAGAATTTAACTACCAACTTGCTGTTTTGATGCTTTTTTTTTTGTCTCATTTTTTTTACGTCATAGGTACCATTTAATAATTACAATTTAAATTATATATAATTATACGATTCTTACACGTGTACGGTGCTCTAGGTTTACGTATTTTCGTAATAAGTAGATAATTTTTATTTTTCATCATATTTTTTTTTCCCTTTAGCTAGACTATTTATGTATATTACATGGAATGAAGTAACATTTCATCAGAAAAAACGCTACGCGAACGTAATACTTTGAGCTTAATTTAAGGGAAATTTCCTTCAATTTTTTTCAAATAAATTTTATCCTCGAGCAAGGAAGAAAATAGTCATTAATTTGTTTTTACAATTTTCTGTACGACATTTTGAGGAGCGAGAGGAGAAAACAATTCACATTCAATAACAGAATAATATGAATCTCTCAGAATCGCGCAACATGAAAGATATATATTTGGCTCGCCATTGGTGAAAATAATCATTACAGAAACAGAACACACACTGAATGATAATTTTTTTTTTCTCTCGTAATTTCACGGCATTTTATCGCGTAGGTACGGAGCGTGTATCACGACACGCGGCGTATGAAAACAACAAAAAAAAAAGAAAAAAAAAAACCATAACGAAACAAATAAAATACAATATTAACACTGGACCAAGTCAATTATCAACAGACTCATTCTCAATATAATCGTAATGACAATAATAATCCATAATTTCAATAATCATATAATATTTTAATAATAATAATCGTTACTCAATCATTAAATACGACTTTCGTGATAAGAAATCGAGGAATATTCGACATTTTAATAAACAAAAGGTCAATTTGATGTACTAATTAAATTCACTCGAAATCTTGGTTTATAATTTATGTACAAATATCGTCTTAAAATTTTTCACACTAACCGTTTAAATCGTATACTCGTTTAATCCCTGTATGCCTCCGAATTTGCTTCCTCGTAACGCACGATCCTCGCTTTTACAATTTATATCAATCAACCATAACTAAACACATAGTGACGCATTTCATTATTTACTTAATTATTATTTCCTCATTTTAGTTCGTCCCATATCACAAGATATTACATCGAATTATGCACGGATGCACGTGCACGCACACCTGGCTAACAACGCACTTGTTAATTAATCATCCAATCAGGTTTTTTTAATCTCGAGATGAATGATCTCTCGTACGTAATAAGGAAGCGCAAGGGCTTCCGGTGGAGGTTTTCATAAATAGTCGCCATCCCTCATTCATCTTTGAACCTAGCATCGCGATCGATCGACATTTTTATCACGTGTGCACTATTTACAATGGACGCGGTATCGACAATCGAGTTATAACTCGGATGCATCGGTTTTCTTTTTATTTTTTTTTTGGCCAAGAACACTTTGAGCATTAGCAGGCAATCTTAAAATCTAAGAATCAAAGACGATTTTCTTGTTTTGCGTGTGAGCAACTGCTCCTCCATTTAATGTGACTTACAGATTTTTAATTAAAAATTTTGTCAACAATTGAGAGGTATGAAAATTTAGCCATCGAGTTACTTGCGCACGAGTGGAAGTTGAAGACGTAAGTACTTTTGAGATGATTTTCATTTTGTAATCAGCAGTCGGATGTGATTGTATCATCAATCAATCAAGACAGCCACTAAATATCTATGATCTTAACCACTAATGAGATTCATTAATCTCGCCCGCTGAGTCGGATCCCCGGCAGATGCATTTTGCGTTTTAATTTAAAATCTTTGTATATCTTAATTTCATTTGATATAAAATGCATTGCGTGGGATGGAGATCCTCTCGGAGCGCAGTCCAGTCTCAATTACAATGATCAGGTGCACAGCGACAGTGATAGAACTGTATCAGAATTTCTTGGATAACTTAAGTTTGGCTTTCCCTTCATCTTCAGCGATAGTCATTTGACTAGAATAGGACTAGAGGATATATCACAGATTTTCACCGGTAGCTCTTGTCCATTCAACGTGACAATGGAAAAAGCAATACTGAGGATGAGCTGACAGATAGCAAATATCCACAGCTAATCGTCAACCCTGGAATAGCTGTTCATCCCAAAATTGGATAGAGACGTGGTGATCACTAAGTGACAAATCGATCTAGTGCCTAGCAAGAAGTGAAGTACAATCATCTCAATCAGTTGTCAGGTACAAGCGAGTGAGACGGATGTACATTTGAAAGCCTTTAGAAATTCTGTTCGCCGTACATACCCGGAAACCGGACCGCATGTGCCCCGAGCTCGGCGGGCGAGAACTCGTCCTATGTGGCCAAATGGGCAAACTGGCCTGGGTGAGGTGCAAACTGGTAGGCATGACCATACGGCGACATGTGGTATGGTACTATGTTCATGCTCGCCATTTTGTGCTCCTTCTTCCACTTCATTCGACGATTTTGAAACCATATTTTTATTTGACGTTCCGTTAGACACAGCGCATGGGCTATTTCAATGCGTCGTCGTCTTGTGAGGTAACGGTTGAAGTGAAACTCCTTCTCAAGTTCCAATGTCTGGTACCTTGTGTATGATGTCCTCTGACGTTTCGTTTCTCCATTGGCATTCACAGTACCTGAAATGAGACAGAATTCATGAAATCAGCATTGATCAATTGTTCTTGAAAATGCATTTTCGCTTCGTCCACGATTTTGGCAATGGGCTGAGCAATTTTTATGATGGATTTAGGTTAGTATTAGGGGAAAGAACCGATCTTTGAAATGGCAGAGGAAACGCATCAATTGGCGCCAAGGAGGGACCTGGTGACGCCTTCTTTCAGAAGCGAACAATTAGAAGAACCGTCTATTAGTAACCCGTTTGGTCTATTTACAATCGGCCCATGACCCATTCAACTTTCCGTGCACATGTACACATCCAACGAGGCTCGTTAATTACATCAACGACTGCATGGCTGCTCCTGGATTACAGCTACCGGATCCCTGAGCTGGTCACTTGGCAGCTGTTTTCCCTATTTGCTTTGACACGCCTCGACCATAAATTTATTCTCCAACGCTATTATTACTGTACCCTCCTTGCACAATCGCACACCTACTCCTCCAGCGGTTATGAGAGACCCCCCTGGAACGAAATCCCCGGTCTTTCCTCTTACTGTAATCTCTTGCGAATTTACTTGATCAGGTAGTCTACGTTGTTCCGTTAGACTTAATCTATTTAGACGCTTTCCAATTGCTACGTAAATCAAGTCCCAGTATACAATTTACTCTCGCTCTGTGAATTTACTTGCGTGGATAAACACTCTTTCCTCGGGGTATCTTAAAGACTGCTGTCTTTAACTATCATTACGCGATTATCGGCTATTCATTGATGAAATGACCTCCTGCCATTTGTGAGAGCAAAATTGACTATTTTCGTCCTTCCAAATTTATTGACGGCCGCCATTACGAATCAGAGACGTCAGTCCCTCATAATTAAAAGAAGAATTACTGGCAAGAAAAGGAAGAGGGGATTTATTTCAATCTGGGGTTAATTCCCCGTCATTTCCGTCAAGATGGCGGTGGTTTCCGCGCGCGAAATTTGAATGCATTTTTAAGCAGAAATTTTATAGTGTGTACCACACATGATCCGCTGATGTGTAAAAACAAAAACATGGTTATGCTCTCTCTCTCCACTTCAGAGATCTTGTTTATGCATCACCAACGATCCACTCACCAATGCGGATATTAAAGTGGTGGCTCATTTGCAGCAATAATGAATACACTATTAATACGACTCTGGTTCGAGAGAGCGGGGGAAGTGAATATAAAGTGTAGACGCACTGAGCATTTATGAATGTGTTGAAAAAGGGGGAACATGGTAACAAACGTGTGGTTAAACTCTGAAGAGACCGCACACAGGAGCCCTCAGACTCTTCGGTTTGAGAAATGAGCTTAATGACTGCGTTATCGCTTTCCTCGCGATGTAACACGTCGTACAGTTAACGCAATTTTTGAGAAATATTACTTTTACGCAGGTGAAAATAATCGAATAATTAAGGTCGATTAAGGAGATAGAACTTACGAAGAGGAAAATGAACGACGAGACGTGCCACAATAAATCGTGAGTCTAATTTGTTTTTAATTTTTTTCAATTAATTTTTAATTTATTGAAAGCTCGTCTGCTATCACCACTCGACAGATATTTTTATATAAATTTTCAGTTTTTCTTGAGGGACATGCGACAAGGTCTTGTAATATTTTTGTTCCTCTTTCATTCATCGTAGGGGGAGAGCGTCTCTTTCTGATGGACAAAGGTTATGCAGCGTCCCACGTGGTGATGCCCCATGTATTATCCTCATATTGATGGTGTTCCCTGTATGTGTGCACCACCGGGGCATCCCCGATCCTCATCGTGTGATTAATTGATCTCAGTGTTCTCGTCGACATCGATACAGAACCCACAGTGTATATATTGTACATGTGATCCCGAGCGAATGGGTCTAGTACCCGAAGGCTGACGGGTTTGATTTTTTCCGCGACATTCCGGGGCGTTATAAGAATTGAAAAATACTCTCTTCCGGAGGAGAAAATAAAGAGAATCGTCCTGCATAGCGCACTGGAATGGAGAATCTATATAATCCTTTTCAATCTACCCGTCTTCGCATTCTTTTTACTCCATTTGTCAAAAAAGGATCGCATGAATAGCTTCCGCGGTTGCGAATTCATTTTTTACAGCTGTCATAACTCAGAGCTGTTTAAATATTTTCTCTCCTGGGGGGTTAATCCAGAATTTTAGTAGACAATTGTGGGGAGGCGAATCAAAACAGCGGTGAGTGAAAATAGATCAAACGCATTGGGAAAATCAAAACGATCTCAATCATGTGGTAGACGGTATCACGGAGGACCCTTCGGGGAGATTAATATCTGTCAACCTGAAGACATTTGCCGTCAAGTGAATAAATAAAAATAACCGGATAAAAATATCCACGGGTCGCTTTGTCCGGAAAAATCGATTGGACGTGGCAGCAGCCTTTTGGACTCGGAACATGTCTTCGGGACAACCCCGATTATCAAGACGAGAGTTCAACAGGAATTACACAACTTCCGATGCAAAATGCCCGTGAACAACGACTGCTGACATTTTCTGCCACGATATTCCCCTCGTGCGTTCTATTAAGAGCGAGGACGTGACATCGGGATGGCTGACACGACGACACGGCACCTCGCTTAGGCTCAACCATGTTCCCAACTCTCTTCCCCCCCTCGTGCCCCACCAAAAACTGTTCCCCTCAACATCAAGATGGCCGAGACAAAAAAATCCACGATTTTTTCAACAGCCATTTAACAGCGGCATTTTTTTTATCACTGCCCCTGCTTCAGATGAAAATGTTTTACGCATACACATCTTGGAAATGGAGATCTTAATAATCCTTGACGGCGATAAATCTCCCGTGTTTAATACCACGGCGTGTGATTCCACTGATTTCTTGGTGGTTGGTTTTCATGCAACTGTAGCTGAAGACTCTGTCGCTTTGAAGACTCACACGATTACCAGTTGGGATTAAGACACGGGGAAATATGTTTGGGATGTATTTTTGGAGGAGGAGAGACGGAGGTGAAATTAGCTTTGATGTCTTTGGATATTTTGGGTGGGAGCAGTGATAGCTGATAATGGAAGGTCAATCGGTGAAAAAATATTGGACATGTGATGGGAAAAGGATGAACTACCGCAAGCTAACTCCCAAGAGCTCCGTATCCCCTCGAAATTCACGGGACATTGACACAACCAACAAAGCAACTCCCCGCGATAATTCATAAATAACCGGAGCCCCCCACCCCCTCTCCTGGCAGTTATTAACCAATTACGATTAAATCTTTCTCCCTAGGTGGTCTGTGTCTCTGAACCCTAGAAGATCATTTCACTTCACTCCTGGGAATGCGAAGGCCATCAGATGGCGTTCAATTGATGATCCCGTCCTTTGATGATCTCGTATTGTAAATATGAGAAAAAAAGAAGAATGAGATGGACAAAGCGACCATCACCGGAGAGACGACGAATACAGGGCATCCTGGCGCATGGCCAGTCTCATTCGTACCAACGAATAGTGGTTAACTAAACCGGTGACATTCGCCAAAACGTCGACGGCGGTCTCGCCTTTCAGGCACAATTTAAATTTACCTTAAGCACATTTTGCGTCACTCTGTCAAAAAATAGGGGAAAACAGAGGAGTGATGCGATAGTGGCCTGCGTGTGACACTCGGGTATGTCAGGCATTTGACTCACTTCGCTGATTTGCGAGGTACGTCTACAGCAACAGCTGCAGAAACCAGAAGATTGCATTCAAGATTATTGCAAAATATCAAACGACCTGCTGATCTCTTCTCAATCCAGAGTACCGTCTTTTCGTCATTATGAATCATCGAGTCATTGAATTCAAGTGTTAGCAGATTGTCGTTCCTGGGAGTGGGATGGACGTCTCATCTGCTCGATTTTTGCCGTTTTTTTTATTTCACCGACGGTGGGAGAGGAGCGTACGAATAATTCATGCCGCTGTCTCTGACCCCCGCACACCAACCAGTGCAACAAAAAGTATTGAAATAAATTCCTGGAGGTTCGATGCCCCAAGCTCCACTTGATGGAATTCACCATGAGGAATTTGAATAAAATCCAGTGAATGTTAATGATTCGAGGTAAGGTGGGTGTGATTATGAGAATTGTGCGATAATTGATGGGAAATTGCGTCGACACGCTGGCTGACTTTATGAATCGATAAGATAAAAGTTATTCTCTCAACTATTAATTGTCGGTGTGTCTCGGGTGTTTGTAACCTCATGCTGACTGGTCTCGATGCACTGGCGTCCCGTTGCTGGAAAATTAATGACTTGCCTAGGCATCGGGGAACAATAGTCAGCTGGTACCGATGAGTCTCCACTCTGTGGTCAATAATTCGCGGTTCTACCGTTTTACAAGGTCTTGACAATATGTACCCAGGGTGACAGGTACTTATTAATTATCATGGGTAAAAAAAAATTGTCATCAGAATATTTTTTTCA